AAAAAAAAAAAACAGAGAGAGAGAGAAAAGATACCTTCATTCAGTTCATTATTATTAATTTATTTCCCTATGTCTCCCTTTTCAGCAAATGGAACCAGCAAAACAAACTAAAATGATCAGAGAATTCCAGAAACAGTCAGCTCAGATGGACATGACGGTAAATAAACATTGCTCTTGCAAAGTTAACTTCTTTTTGGCATTATTGTGAAATAAGAATTTAATAATTAATTATAGCTAGACGAATTATCTATTTTTTTTTTTTCAGATCGAGATGATGTCTGATGCAATTGACGAGACACTAGACAAAGATGAGGAGGCTGAAGAAGAAACTGAAGAACTCACTAACCAGGTTTTTGCATACTAACTTTTAATCGAGACTTCACCTATCCCTTTTTTTATCTTTACTTCCCAAGATTTCTAACTCACTTTTTTTTTTAGGTGCTTGATGAGATTGGTGTTGACATAGCATCCCAGGTTCGTTTTCATTTCTTTATTTTTAAAAGCTTTAAACGTCTTAATTTTCTCCTCAAATGCTGTTGGTATAGAGTATAAACGGTTCATATTTCGAACTGGGAAAGTCAAATGCTAGTGATTCTAATTCATTTTCTTGATTCGTTGTTATATAAACAGTTATCTTCAGCTCCGAAAGGAAGGATTGCATCAAAGAAAGTGGAAAATGCTGCACCTAGGTAAACCTTCAAAAAGTTTCCATCTTTTTTTTTTTTTTTTTCCTTTTATTTCCCTATTTCAAGAAAGTATGTGTATTAATGTTTATTCTTTTCTAGCATATTCCTTGATAATTCATTAATCCCCACTATATCTCATCACTTTTCGACGTTGGCTCTTGACCACAATTTTTAAGGGAAGAACATGTGTTTGACACATCTAATAGTCCATTTTTTTCAACTACCTTTCGGAAGTATATATTTTTGTTTTGCTTTTCTTGGACCACCACAATTATGTGAAAACCTTCTTTCTTTCTTCTTTTACGACCATTTTCTCTTTTATCTGAGTATAAACTATATCACCCGAATAGTTTTCGAGTTATAATCTTACTTTTCCTTACTAATGGTTTGTCAATTGTAATTTCAGTATAACTCAATCTGTAAAATACTAAAATCTATATATCTGGTAGTGAAGCACGACTGTTAATTTTATTTCTGATTGTTATGATTTTTCCTTTTGGAGCCAATTGGCTATCGAAAATTATCGAAAATCTATATTGTTATGATAAATTTTTTTTGCTAATGCAAATCTGATATGTGTGTTTGTGTGATTTTCTTACAGTGCTGCTAATGTATCCGCTGATGTTGAGGAGCTGGAGAAAAGGCTGGCCTCTTTGCGACGTATATGAACTTCATAATCATGGCCAATTTCATGTATTATATTAGCTCTTACACATAAATATAATTTGTTTTTAACATATAACTATAGATTATTTAGTTACTTGAAAAGGTTTTTATTTTATTTGTTTTTTTAACTATGGTCTATTTTGGTCCTTGGGAGTTGGATGTATGAGAATGCAGATGATCTGATTGAATTCTTTTTTTTTTCATTAAATGCTTACATTGTTTAAATCACTGTAATAATTAAAAATCATTAAAAATCATTAAGGCCTCGTTTACTAGGGTTGATAGAATATGATAAGGTTGGTTAACCAACCTTATCATATGTTTACTAGGTTGGTTAAAGAAAAGGACTAGTCTGATGTGGCATGTGGGTCTCTCTTCATTAATATGATGTGGAGGGATTGTTTTGTCGCCCCATTTTGGGGGGATATTCATATCCCTAAGTTTGAGTTCCAATTTTGGGCGGATATTTATAAAATATTAATTTAAATATTTTTAATTTAATTAAAAATAATATTATATATAATCTAAAATAATTTTATTTAATTTAAAATAATATTATTTAATTATTAAAGTATTAATTTAATTAATTTTTTTTAATTTAAAAAACATTGTTTAATATAAAATACTTTTATTTAATTCAAAATAATATTATTTATTCTAAAATATTTTATAAAATTTAAAATAATATTATTTATCTATAAAATATTAATTTAAATAATTTTTTTAATTTAAAAATGTTAACTTAATTTAAAATAACATTATTAATTTATAAAATTTTAATTTAAATAATTTTATGTTATTTAAAATACTTTTTTTAAATAATATTATTTAATCTAAAATATTTTATTTAATTAAAATAATATTATTAAATTATAAAATATTAATTTAAAATAATTTTATTAATTTTAAAAAATATTTTTTAATCTAAAATAATTTAATTTAATTATTATTTATCTATAAAATATTTTAATTTAAAAAATTATATATAATTTAAAATAATATTATTTAATCTATAAAATATTAATTTAATTAATTTTATTTAATCTAAAAAATATTGTTTTATAATATTTTCTTTAATTCAAAATAATATATTTATTTTATAAAAATATTAATTTAATTAATTAAATCAATAATTTAATGTATTTATCAAGACTTTTATCCTCTTTGGTAAACATGGGACAATTTGTATCCAAAATTTGATGTAGCAAAATGGAGGGATTAATTTGTCCAATCCCATCATCTCTAGTAAACGAGAAATCTATACTTGCAATTTTTGTTTTAAATAACAATTTTATTACAAAATTTTCAGTATTTTTCATTTTTGTTCTCACTTTACTTATATAATATGAATGTTAAATTGGAAAGTGGCCAGAGATGATTAATTTAGTATATTATACATAAAAAATAAAAAGTAAATATAAAACTATTTATTTTAATGTTTACCATTTTAAGTCATTATTATTTTATTACTAGTACAACACCCGTCTATTACAGGGTGCTTGTTAAAAATTCATTCTTAAATTTTAAAATTAATGAAAAAACTATATTAAATTTAGTTTACTTTTTTACAAAAAAAAAATATATTACTATATATTTTAGAATAATATGTGTTACTTATGACTTACATGTGTTATATTATATTTGTTTTTATAACTTATAGCATATAACTACTTGAAATATAAATATATTAGTTGATAAATAATTTTATTTTTCTAATTAATATCAAAAATAATTTTATAATTGTTATAACGATAAATATAAATTATTTTTTTTATACATACAATATGGATGTTAAATCGAAGCTCATCAAAAGAAGATTAATTTGATATATTACATATGTAAAACTGATAAAAAATACAAAAGTTATTAGCTTTTAAAATATATATACAATTCAATAGTTATAATAAGGAATGATATTAAAATGTAATTAATACATGTAACATGACCATAAATAATCAACATATTTATGGTAATCCGAACCTAATTATTTTTGGTTTGGAATTAAATTAAAATTTCTCAAGCCTAATAACGAAGCATGTAATTTTGCCACATAGAATTCTGAAGCACCAGAAACAGTCACGTAGGCTCAGCGCGTTCTGGATTAATATAAGGGGGATTACTAGTACAACACCCGTGTATTACACGGGTGCTTGTTAAAAAATTATTCATTAATCTTAAAATTAATGAAAAAACTATATTAAATTTACTTTACTTTTTTACAAAAAAAAAATATATTACTATATATTTTAGAATGATATGTGTTACTTATGACTTACATGTGTTATATTATATTTGTTTTTATAACTTATAACATATAACTACTTGAAATATAAATATATTAGTTGATAAATAATTTTATTGTTCTAATTAATATTAAAAATAATTTTATTATTGTTATAACGATAAATATAAATTAATTTTTTTATACATACAATATGGATGTTAAATCGAAGCTCATCAAAAGAAGATTAATTTGATATATTACATATGTAAAACTGATAAAAAATACAAAAGTTATTAACTTTTAAAATATATATACAATTCAATAGTTATAATAAGGAATGATATTAAAATACAATTAATACATGTAACATGACCATAAATAATCAACATATTTATGGTAACCCAAACCTAATTATTTTTTTGTTTTGGAATTAAATTAAAATTTACCCAAGCCTAATAACGAAGCATGTAATTTTGCCACATAGAATTCCGAAGCACCTGAAACAGTCACGTAGGCTCAGCGCGTTTTGGATTAATACATAAGGGGAGGGGGATTTAAGACATTAGACTTAAAAATATTAAAAAAAGATACATGCAATTTGAGAATACCAAATGTTGACTTTGAAGTTCGAAACAATTTTGCTTTATTGGAAATGGTACAGTCTCGTTACGGAACCATTTCGTCAGAATTTGTAACAGTTAGATCGCATGTAACCGTCGTGGATAGTTGCTCTAACGGTTACAAATCCCAACGAAATGATTCCATAAAAGGACCGTAAAATCTCCTCTACTTTATGTATGGGAGGGACTATAATTACACTTTGGAATAAAAATATTAATTAACAAAATTCCAATGACTTGCATAGGCTATGTTGAATTTCATCCGATTTTTTTACTTTTTTATTTTGGAAAATAATAAAATAACTAGTACTCGTGTATTACACGGGTGTTTGCTAATTTTTTTCTTAAAATCTAAAATTAATGAGAAAAAATAATTGAAAATTTAAATAACTTTTATATAAATATATATATTATTATATATTTAGTATGACACTTTCTATTTGTGCGCTACTATAATAATTTTTTTAACTTACATCATATAACTACATTAAACATAAGTATATCAATTGAGAATAATTTTATTTTTCTAATAAATTTTAATAAATATTATAATTTTTATTATTATAAAGATAAATATAATTTATTTATTTCATATATACAATATGGATGTCAAATCGAAGATTATCCAAAGATGATTAATTTGATATATTATATATAAAAAACTGATAAGAAATACAAAAATTATCAACTTTTAAAATACATTTACAATTCAATAGCTAATTGAAGGAAACAAATCAAAAGTCATAGATATATTATCACTTAGTGCCTCACTATGTAAATACAAAAATTAAGGGAAAAAATATTTTTCACCCCAATACAAAGACACATTAAGTTTTTTACACCGCCCAATAAAAAGCTAAGTTTTTCACCACGGAAAGTGCGAAGGTTATGCGAAAACTGTCGCCAAACTGTCGCATATGCGAAGGTTATGCGAAAAACTGTCGCATAATTGTCCCATCTCAATTGCATAATTGTCGCATATTCATCGCACAATGCCTTCGCACTTTAATTTTTTTCACTCCAGAAAGTGCAAAAGGATATGCAAATGTCTTCCCACTTTTAACTTTCGCACAATGTCATCGCGCAATTGTCACATATTCATCGCACAATGCCTTTCGCACTTTCTGGGGTGAAAAACTTAGTTTTTATTGGACGGTGTGAAAAACTTAACAAGACTTCAAAACGGGGTGAAAATTAAAGGGTTATATTAGTACAAGTGATATCTATAGTAATATAAAGAGGTTGTTGGAAAAATACAAGAATAGTATGTTTGACTTAAAAAATAATGTTTTGACTTACTAATTTAAGTAATAACAATGGGCCCCACGCGTTAACATAAAATTAATAAAGAAGATAAATCACCTAAATCTTTCCTACTAAAATTAGTTTGAATGTCGTTAACCAATGTTATCAGATTTTGTGGGATTTTATTTGTTCACAAATTTCATAATAACTACAAGATCTCGATGATAATGATTAAATTTCTTTATAAAATTTATCGGATTATGTTAACTATATTGCTAGGATTTTGATTTATTTTATATACGGATTGTTGTTACTAACCAATGTCATCGGATTTTGTGGGATTTTATTTGTTCATAAATTTTTAATTACTACAAGATCTCGATGATAATGATCAAAATTTCCTTTCCAAATTTATCAGATTTTGTTAACTATATTGCTAGGATTTTGATTAACTTTGTGTAGGGATTGTTGTTACCAAATTTGCACAATAACTACATATTTATTGGCCCGCTACAAAATTGACGATTTGGACGGGTTTTCACATTTGTTTAGCAATTATTCCTTTTTATTTTTTATTTTTGTATCAATCTGCATATTTTTGATTGATTTTGTATGATTTTATTTGTTCACAAATTTCTTAATTACTACATAATCTCGAAAAGAGTTGATCAAAATTGCGTTACCAAATTTCATTGTAACAAACTACATTTTTTTTGGCAACATAATCTTCAAAATATTTGTGTGTCCCTCACACGTGAATCACTTACCACATTTTTTTTTTTATTGTTTTACCAAAACCGAAAATACATATTTTTTTAACTCATCATAAGCATAATCGAATAAGTCGGATCAGATCCCACGGGATATTATCATATCATAAAAAAAAATACCGGATATTATCAATTGAATAGAT